TAATCTATTTCTAAATCACCTTGTTGAAGAAAATTAAAAGCTGTCTCAAAGGAAATTACGGCATCTTTCGTTGAAACGTTAGACATAGTATTACTCTCGACAAATATTATATTATTAACATCATTTTGAAATCTCTTCGATTATATTTCTTGAATTTTCAATTTCATTATTAGATATTTCATTTTCCAAGGGAAAATTGCAGCTTTCCTCGGTAATTTGGACATTTATATGTCACATGAATCTGCTATGGTCATATAGAAAGACCCCATCAAAAACTCGTGGAACAAATTTATTATTATTGGTAGAATTCGTTATTATTATGGCAAACGTTTTAGTTAATAAGGGGACAATACTTAGATCCGTTGTAACAAGAAATGTGCTGTGACGAGGTTTGACTGTGATATATGAAAAAAAATTAATAAATGGTCAACCGTTTAATTGCAGTTAACCGGTTAACCACGGTTAAACAGTTAACGGTGCCAACCCCTAGTAAAGATTTAATCCTATGTTATAAAACATGTTACTAATTTTTTAGCAAAGTTGCTTTTGCATTAATTAATTCTAAAATTCACTCAACTACATGGAATTATCATTCTTATGCAAAAGAGCCAACAACTGATGCTGAAGTCTTCAAAATAATGTTCTTTATTCAACAAGTGAATATAAACATCAAAGCAAATCATTTATTATCTTGGTAGTCAAGTTTCAATTAATATGAAGGTAAATGCCCCAACTTTTGAGTAAAAATGCATTTTCTTTTATTGCGTTCCCTACAATCGACCTAAAAGGTTGTCCGGACCCTGTTTCGTTTTGGTAAGACGATCTGCACTTCAGGTTGGCCATGATACCGGTATATTGGATCTATTGGTGCAACATGTTAACCATATTAATAATATTGATATTTTAGTAAGCTGGTCGCAAATAGACTAACCAATCATGTATGATCAGTAGTAATACCCATCCACCTATTTAGTATTTATAAATGGCAATGAACCAGACCAAAATTCGTTGGCTCAGTGTACCCAGTCTATTACTCACCCTGCATTATTGAAATTAACCTTATCAAGTATTTTGAATTATTGCTATATTAATATATAAATTAATTTTAATTGAAAAAAATTTTATTTTGTATTATTCATTTTGTTTTATTTATATATTTTTATTTTATCGTTATCGTTGTTGGGGGGAATATATCTCATCAGATAAGTAGTTAGTCAGCCTTTATTAATTTCTGCATTTGGCCGAATGAGGTGAATGAATGAATCAGAAAGAGAATAATAATTAAAAAGTTTGCTGAAATTTTAAATGAAATATTATATTCGGCAAAACTTTAAGAACCTCACATCCTGAAGGATGTGCCATGTCTTTTCACAATAATAAATGCAATTACTATTCTCTATGGAAGATTTACCACACATTTTATATCCCTTGTTTCACGCTTCTCAGCTGAATTTCGGCAAGTACATACTAGATAGAGGTTTGGCGCGACGTTATTAATTCGGAGGTTTTTTCTAAATTAATCATTTGATAATAATTGGTAATCAATGTGATTGTTTTTTGTTTACTATAACAATAAAACTCATTTTAAACAAAAACATTAAAAATATTCTGGCGTTAAGTACGTGTAAACCAGATAGATTTTGATTTGGTAGCATTCATTCATTGAACTTAACCTGAAAACTGTGACTAAATGCTTTTTTTTTCGGATAAAATCTATCTACTTTACCATTTTTTTCTATAAATATAAAAATAGTACAAAATATTAATCAGATAATCGGGGCGATCAAGCATTAAATAGTTTTGAAAGATTTTTTTCATTTACAACTACATATCTTCTATATTGTCATTATCAGGCAGGATCAAGCCTTTTCGTGGTATGTTTGTATTCTCTGCTGCTTTCATGTTATGATATCAGAAGTTCAGAGTATTTATAATAACGGGACAAACATAATACTTTTTACCAAATTCAAAGTAAGAAAATGAAAAACATCGAAGCCAAAAGATCTGAAAAACATTTTGAAGAGAGTCTTTAAAAAAAACGATAAAAACTCATGGATCAGAGAACGTCGAAGGTAATAGAGCATATTTTTAATCAGTAGGGATTTATTTTTTTATCTAAAAATATGTTGGTTTACATAATTTGCGACTTTGGCTGTTTTGTATTTACTTTTTTTCAAGATATTTTTGATGAGTTAAGCTTACACATTGTAAGTACATAGATTAAAAAATAATTTTTTTTTCCAAAGATGATTAAAATAAAAAATTTTTAAAATAGAATAACGAATGAATTTTTTTTATGCAATCTGAGCTTATTATAGTTGTATACATCCCATTGTTACCGTATTAAAAAAATTCTATAAATGTTGGCAAGCCTTTATTACCTATCTTTGTTGTTTGAATTTTATTTCTATTGTCTGCAACAAGCTTATAATAGTTTATAGCTTCTTTTCTATATTATAACCATGCCAAGCGATATGCTTGTATTGATAGCACTTTCCTTGAAATATTGAACAGCATGTTGGTATCTTTTATTTTTAAAAGAATCTGGCTTGTTGAAATGATTCTTAGCATTTTGCATAAGGGTTACCAATATCGTATATAAACAAAAGATGTTACTATTACAGGGCACACGGTTTGTCGCCTTTTGGCTATTCATGCTGTTGAATAGCCGCGTCTAAAGTAATCGAGGGCATATTCATTGTTTTTGATAAGAAATTTATTTTCCAAGCCTTCGCTTGAAAGAGCATGCTGTTACATCAAGAAAACAGTAACATATATTACATGTATACTCTACACAATTGCAGGGGTTAATATAAATAATAAAAGTATAACATATATTTTTTAATACATTAACCATCCATATGCTTGTTCTACGTTAAATTCTACAACTGTGTACCAAATTTGGCAGATCATATTAAAAAGCAAAAACTTAGTATTGGGTTTCAAGTTTTGGTTTTCTCTCGAGGAATTCAAAGAATTCGGGTCACAGCATTAGTATTAGCAGAAAATAATATTTAATGCATAATAAAAGAGAGAAAGAAGAAGTCACATTTGTGGTACAAGACAGCTGTGGCAGTGAAAATTAATTTGTGGCGTGATTAAAATTTTTTGTTTTTAAATTAATTATAAACAAAAGAAAAAAAAAAAAAATGAAAAGGAAAATCATTAAAAAAGTAACAGTAACAACAACAACAAAAACAAGAACTATTAAAAGAATTAAAAAAACCCCTGCTACACGAACAGAAATCCCAAGCGTCACAGGAAAAATTTTTATATTTGGTTCAAATGAAATTGGACAGCTGGGCTTCGATCCTGAAGCTATTGGCACGGTCAAAAGACCAAGGGTACTGGAATCTCTGGGCAAAAGCATAGTTGCAATATCTATATCAAGCTTACATAATGTTGCTATAGATAATCAAGGAAAGGCATACAGTTGGGGCTGCAATGATGAAGGTGCTTTAGGTAGAAATACAGACAAAATAGATGAATTCACTCCTGCCCAGGTTGAAGGAGTAGACGATGTTGTAATTGTTAAAGCGGCGTGTGGTGATAATATAACATTTTTATTATCTGATGAAGGCGTTCTTTATGCAGCAGGCACTTACTTTGTATGTTGTATAATATATAGATATATTTATTTATATGTGTTTGTATATTTTATTTATATATTTCCTTTTATTAATTGTACTTTGTACATTTTTATGATTTGCCATTAAAATTTCTTAATTAGGATGAAAACGGACAACTCGGATTTTCACAAGAACAATTATTTCAAAGACAAAAAACATTCACTAAATATAAACCAGTCCAACATCTTAAGTTCAATGATGTTGCTTGTGGTGAAAATCATACCTTAGCAATCACAAAAAATCATGAGCTGTATGTCTGGGGGTGGGGTGGAATGTTCCAACTTGGAAGAAGATTTAATCCTCGTCTACATGGAAAAGGCTCAGGATTAGCACCAGAACGTATCATGAAAAACGTTAAACAAGTTTTTTGTGGTAGTTGGAATTCGTTTGTTATTGATGAAAATAATAAATTATACGTATGGGGACTTAACAACTATGGTCAATGTGGATTTGATCCTAAAAAGAAGGAATCAGTAGTATGTCCTACACTACTCGATCTTGGTTATGATGGTACTGTTAAAGAAGTTGCTGCTGGACAGCACCATGCAGTTATACTGTTTGAAGATGGTAAGATGTTTTCTTTTGGAAGATGCGATGACGGTCAATTAGGCATTGGTAATAATATAATGCAAAATCGAAGCTTTTACACTTTCAGTGAAGTGGGAAGGGAACCATCATTAAATAGCAATAACGACAACAAGAGTGACAACAGCAACAACGACAAAGATGATGACGATGACAATAAAAATACTAGCGTAAGTAGTGATTATGCTAACAGCAGCCTTAGTCCTAGCCTGAATAATAGTAGTAACACTGCTACTACTACCACCACCACCACCACTACTATCATCACTAAAGATAATGAAATTGTGAATTATAGAAGTGTAAAGGCATGGAACAATAGCAATATTGCTATTTCTTATGACAATTTAGTATGGTCGTGGGGTGCTGGTGAGTCCTATAACCTTGGTCATGGACAAGAAAAGAATGAACCATTACCACGTAAAATAACTTCCATTGATTTATCCAATCACCACATAATTGATGTTGGAGTTGGCTCACAACATGGTGCAATATTAGTCCATGAAAATGGCAATTAAAAAACGATTATATAGTTAATATTTTTATATGCGTATAGGGGAAATCAAATTAGAAAGCGTTGTTATATTTTATTATTATATATAGAATTAGAATTTTATTATTACTACTTTTTTTTTTAGATTAAAAATAATAATTATCCATAAATATTTTGATTATTTAATATTAATAATTAATAATTACTATTGGCATCTGTAAATAATAAATCAATAATAATAATAATGTTTCTTGTTTGAAGACATGGCACAATTAGTAAGATTACTCCAAGAGATCTTTATTAAACAAACAATTAATAGAAAATTAATTGCTATCATTAAAAATAACAAAATAATATGAAACTGAATATTTTTCAATGGTTAAACAAACACTTTTCTTTGCAAAGGATAACCTCGCATTCACCACCATCAATAATGACAAGCACCATCAGACATGCAAGTAAAAAGCTAACAAGAAATGAAGCGAGCTAAATTATTTGCGAAATAAAATTTGGAATACTCCATCCAAAACATACAGAACTCTTTTGTACGCGTGGGATTCTTTGAAGAAATATCATTAGTCTGACCACTCAAGAAGATAGACGACAAGATTTTCTCTTGAACATAAGGTTAAGAATAAGTAATGCGGAGCAAGACTCAATTAAATAATTAGCTTTGTGTTAATTAAAAAAAAAGTAAATTTGTGGATCAAAAAACCGTCATTACGACAACCTTTTTTTAATCGTAATAATAATTAAACAGACAATAAAATCACGCCAGTCTTCAAAAAATCTGTAATGATAATGTCAACTAATTTAAAAATTATTTATTTATTATAACAGAGTTTACATTCTATAAACTTTTTACAAAGCAAAAAGTAAGAATGTGCGAAATAGCTCGGATTGATTGATGATGGAAAAATGTATCTTTGAACAACGCATTTGGATTTCATCAAGATAACTTAATTAAGTTGGTAAATGGCTGCAATTGAGACATTGCAACCGGAAGAGATTCTATTCCACAATTGGTTGGTCCTAATGGTTTACTGAACCCATATTTTTCATTCTATCCATGCATAGCAGTGATTAATATTATTGGAAGATTGCAGTTGCAATTCATTGAACATTTACCAAGAAGGGATAATAAAAAATTATTATATGGGCATATTGCAACAAAACCAAAGTGAACATTATTATGATGTCACAGGGATCAAAATAATGGGTGCTTTATCTTTATTATACATGTAGGATGCCTTTCTTTACCTAATAACATTTACGAAAAGAAGCGTTCGTTATGATAGATAACCTTAATAATTAACATGATTTATAAAGAAAAAAAGGTATCAAAGCAAAAAAAAAAAAAGAACTTGATAAAGTAACTTTTCTCTAATTTTTGTCGATCAATTGTAGAATGAAATTGTCAAAGCAAGAAATGAAACGATAAATGTTCTAAGCAGTCATTACAATATCAATTCAGAAACGACTAATAAAATGCAGTAGATCTCATCAATTCAATAGACTTTTTTTAAAAAAATTCCCGCTGATGTTTTAAAAGGCAAGGGAATCTTATTAAATAAAATTTTGAATAAAATCTTAATGCTCCTGTGCGAATGTTTTAGATGCCGTTGTAATTATTGTCGTTGTTTGCTGCTGTAATTGTTGATTACGTTGCCGTTGCAGATTTTTGTTCTTGTTGAAATTGAAAAGACAATGAGGTAACATCTGGAGCACCAGAGACATCTTCATCATCGTAGCTTAGTTGTGGCAAATGTGTGTTGAAATAGGTTTCTAAATACATACATAGTCTATTATTTTTATACCATAGTAACGAAGGCCTATTTCTCACCAAATTAGAATGGTGACCATGATTGAATTTTATCCACTTCATACATAGTACGATATTTAGATATAGCTGGTCAAGTTATAAGTCTGAATTATTGAATTATTCGTCACACATTCATAGATGTAACACAAACATTTAAGGAATCAACTGCGCCACTACATCAATCAAGCTATCATATCACGATGTATGATTTAAAATTCTTTGTGCTAATTTAGAGACCCCATATTTCTTCATATTCACCTGTATAATATGTTGATTTTCTTTTGTGGATAATCATTAACAATCATTATATCGATTTGTAGTCTAGGTTCCAAAATTTGATTATTTTTATTATTTTTGAAAAAAAATTTTTCTATAATATTTTCTGATTAATGGAACAAGACTTTCCGGATTGTTTAACCATCTAAAGTTACATGAAATAATATCATAATAATGTTTCTGGTAGTCGCGTGACGACATTTGATCTCCCTTAATTAATTAATTTCAATAATGATTAAACTGATAATATTTTCTGGGTAACAGATTGTTTGGCCGCAATCTTTTCTAAAGCTAATTAATTAATGTCAAATGAAAGTTGTGCATGCCTATTATGTACAGTAAATGATATATTGAATCTAATTATTATTTATCGTTATTCATTTATATATTATAATACCTACTTTTTATAATAAAAAGTCTTTGTATTTAATCTGTTCTTACATTTGTTAATGTAATGCTATTAAATCAGCCTCAGTAAACCTATTAAACAACACTCCCATAAAGTAATGACCATATGAAACATTAGAGTATTTTACATTTCTAACTTTGTAATTTTTTTATTAAATATGTCTGGGAACACGAATTCGGAATTACTAAAAAAGTATATGCCATAGGGAGAATTTTTTCTCTTCAAAATACTTCCAAAAGTACTGTAATTCTTGGGGATCTGATGTAAATAAATGAGTTAGTTTCACATTTATGTCATAAGAAAAAACAAACGAAACATTACTATTACATTGATGATGACTAAATTTTGATCCCTGTAATATTGTAGAAGAGTATATGGATGGGGCTGGGTAAGTCCCGCAACAATACTCTGAACGAAATACGTTGTGAATTTCTTGTAACTGAACCAAATAGTTTTAGAAAACCCATTGTGAAAGTACAGTAAAACCTCTATATAACGAAACGTTTATTATGTTCGTTATAACGATGTTTCGGTATACGCGTATACTCAGTATAACTAGTACAAGGTTCCGGTTCTATTTTTGATAAATTATTTGTTGTATGTAGAGTTCTATTCCTTTTTAAAACATTAATATACATGAGGAATTTGAACGCTAAGATCATCGCTAAATTTAGACCAATATTCGACAATCATATCTAAATTTGGCAGAAAGGAAAATAAAATTTTAAACAAAATCACGTGAAAACCTTTTTGAAATTTGAGCGCGTGGCGTGGCAATAGGAGTCTTTAGATCGAGTCAACCATATAAATATTAATATAGTTTGGTGTAGTACACCGGTTTATCGGGTAAAACAATGTAAATGTTCACTTTGGTTTCGGTATGCTTCATATTATAAAATTTTTAAAATTAAATGATGACCCTAAACCCTTGGTAATACAAACGTTCATTTTTATTTCAGCAATGCCATAATATGCCCATATAAGATTAAATTCAATACATTATATTGTCAGATGATCGAGGGCGAGTCAACTTTAATTTTGGTAGAATAATAAATGGTAAGTCGGTGTATGTGCCCTTTTCTTGGATTTATCCATTTATAGCTGTCACACTAGTTAATTGGATGAATAATTATTAATTGAGGAGGACAAATCGATTTTTATCAATAGTCTTGGATTCTAGGTTAAAAATTATTGCGTTTTTGATTCCGGAAGAAAATAATAGGGTTATGTAAATGGTCTGAAAGAAGAAATTGTCTTGGAATGCAATAGATGGATGGATAATGGAAATTTGAAATGTTACATTAATATTAATTTTTTATATTGTGTAACGTAGATTTGCAATGCACGGCAATAAAAAGTAAGTGATAACTATTGAATTGGATCTGAACTTGATCTCCAATTTAGAGAGGTGACAACAACTATATACTGGTGAAGTTTCAGGAGCAATGGGTTCTGTATAATATTTCGTGTAATAATTGACAGGATGTTTTGAGTGATATAAAAACATTGATATTGGAAGAATATCTCAAAAAGTAGTGTATATGGCTGGCTGCTTCTTTTTTTGTTATGGATCATTCTTGGCATGATTATATATTATATACGAGAGTTATGTATTTTAATTCATAGTATCCGGTAAATTGTAAAAAATTAGCCGAATTAGTTTTCATTCATTCCATGCGATATTAGACACATAATATTTTTGTTCTGGGACATTCAATACACATCAGGATCACTTTTAGAAAAGTATATATTTATTATATATAAATAAATAATGTTGCAAAAAATATAAAATAAGATATAAAATAAAATATAAATAAATAAAAAAAGAAAAAATAATAATAATTCACCACGAAAAATTGATCATTATTAATAATAAAATAGTAGTAAGATGAGGCGCCGTAGTAGTAGACTAAGAGAACAAAAGAAAGAAATTTAACGAAAAAAAAAAAAAAAAATGAACAAAGGAAATAAATATTATAAAAAAGCAAAACGAAGACGAAAACGGACTGACTAAAAAATAGAAATAAAAGAGATTAATATAAAAAAAGAATTTCATAAAATTATTAGTTTTTTTTTTTTTTTTTTTTTGGTCGTAATAAAGAAAGGTTTGTTTTTTTAATCATAAAAAATTTGATGTCAATATATCTTATCTTCCCGAATCTTAATTTTGTTGTAAAACTTAAAAAAGTGAAATTTCTTATTATTTTGGTTAATTAATTATAGCATTTTAGCAAAGCCAGCATGATAAACGAAGCTCGTTTTGTATTCATCACATTCGGCTTCGATTATTTTAAATTCATCATTAGTGGGAGGTGTGTTGGAGGTTGTTGTGAGTAGTAGTTTAAATGCCGAGAGATATAATTCACCGACCTAAATCATAAATAATTTATATATATATATTAATTAATTAATTAAAAATCGATAAAAGAAGAATCAAAATTTCTTCAATTTACCATTCCGGCCCATTTCCCCATTGGTATGTTGACTTTTATATTTTTGAAAGAGGAGAAGCCATTTTTTTTAAAAAGATCTTGCAATGTTAGCTCCATTGGCACAGTGGTTTTCTCATTTAAAAGCTTTGTGACAACACTTAAGGTCTTGTCTCCGCAACTAGAATCAAATAAATTTTTGAATTAGTTTATCATCTCACATCATCTTCATGTGGAAAATTAAAATAATCATTTTTCAACTTACGTTTTGAAGGATTGTAAATCCTGCTCCTATAATAATAATAATATTATTATTATTATTATGAAAATTAATATTAATTTAATAAATTCTCGTTAAATACTAAAAATATTAATAATAATAATTACCAAGAATTCAACGTAGCCGTTTGGTTTGAGGACACGGGCGATTTCTTTAAATAGAGAGTTCAATTGGTCCAATGTCAAGACATTCAAGGTCAGTCTTATGTGCACGAGGTCAAAAAACCCGTTAGCATAAGGTAATCCATCTACACAATAATAAATAAAATCTAGCATAAATATTTGATTTTATAATATAAAAGTTTCAATCAATCAATTAAAAAAAATACCTAGGAAGTCTCCTTTTTCAAAGGTGCAGTTTCGGGGATACACCGATTGAGGTGTACACGGTTCAATATCTATGCCAAAAAATTGACATTGGGGCATCATGCTAATAATAATAACAAATAAGAAATAATAATAATTAGCAATTGAAAAGATTCGACCAAAGTAAATCAATCAATTAATCAATCAATTGAATGCTTACGAAGCTACTTCCATCATCCAAATTCCACTACCAAACCTAATTTATATATAAATTTACATAGTTGTTAGATATTTATATGATGTATATGATTTTTTGTATTATACAAAAGGCTTATAATAAATAACTTACCCAATATCTAAGCAATTCTAATCGATAAAACAAATCCATAACGATAATAGCAACAATAATAAACGTTAATAAAAATTACACGAAAAATAGAATACAAGAAAAGTTTTATTATTTACCTTCATTGTTGGTTTATCGATTGGGCTAATAAAGTTACCATTCATTATGTGTTTGAACACATCATGCTAGATATGATAATGATATAATTAACAACCATTTTTACGAAAAAGATTCAATCATCGCTACCACCAAAACAAATAAAATACTTACCATCAGGAGGTCCTTGTCAATCTGTATTAATCACATCAATTAAATAAAACAAATCAATTAATACCAAATCGTTAACCCATAAACATTTATTTAATTAATAACTACGTACATTGATATCTTTAGTAGATTTTGAAGTGGAAATTGGTGAATCATCGTCATTATCAGTGATTGAATGAGGAGGTATGGAGTCTTGGATTATAACGGCAGAAGAATTCTCGTTGGTTATAGATGGTATGGGGATGACGGTGGTACTAACAGGCATTATTATGTTCGTTAAGATGGTGAAAAAGAGTGAATAAAAAAATAATGATGAATGAAAAGGAATTATTGTATTAAAATAATTCTTTTTGAGAGATGATATATATTTTGTTTATTATTTATAGAAAAAAAAAATGATGATGAGAGAGTGATTGCGGATTGTGTGGTGGAAAAAGAATTAAAAAAGGTTTAGGTGGATGAACGAACGATTTAACACAGAAAGAGGAATGAATGATTTATAGTTATTAGTTACTGATTAAAGGGAAAAAAAAACCCAAAAAAGTTTGGTCGAAATGTTTCTTTATATACTGTTGTATTTATATTATATTATACTATTTTTATTTATTATTATATATTAATTAATTTAATTAATTAATACATAAATACTATATATATATATATATATTATATATATACAATATATTATTTATGTGTAAAAGAATTACCACATAATTTATAACATGGATCATTTTTTTTTTTACCTGGCTCAAAATGATGGATCACATTATATAAAATAATCGGTATAAATATAAATTATATATACACGCCCAATGGTATTTGGTTTATCTACTTACAGCTTATGTAAAAATAAAGTTTGAAATATAATAAATAAAATCTAAAAGTCATACAAGGACAACAAAAACAACACATGTACAAAAGTACAGAAAAGAAGACTTCATCGGAAATTAATTAATTACAAAATTATGAGTTGCAAGTTACAAAAATAAAAGAATTTCTATCCTTTCTTTTTTTCACTTTTGAAGTTTGGGCAGAAAATATTTATTTATTGTCGAGAGAGCGAGAGAAGAGCACAAAATTTTCATTCAAACTTTTTTTTTATTCGTTGTTTTGATTTTCCAGGAACAAAAAAAAATTTTTTATTGTTTGTTATTTCAATATTATAATAATAGTAAATAAATAATGTATGTAATGCATTATATATGTACAACACACATACAAATAATGACAAATGAAAAAAACAAAAAAATTGATTAATAATTAGTAGAATTGTGGTGGTGGATTGATAATAATAGTAATAAATAGCCTTCCTTCAAATAACTAATCAAATAATATTGATATAAGTCCATTTGATTGTATATTTCTTCTTTTAGTACTTTTTTCTTCTTAATACATGAATCACGCCTTTTGATATGATTAAAAGTCTTCGTAACCACCTATAAAAGGTGAAGATAATGTGTGTATGTGATCTACATGGAATTTAATTTGATGATTGATTATTTGAATGATTTCTTCAATTTCTAAAACAGTCATTGATATATTATTCATGTTATTACTGGTTGTTATTATCATATATATTTTTCCGATATTTATTTGTTATTTGTTTACTATTCTTATTCTAACAGTGTAGCAATAAAAATATATAATATTTGTTATAAAATTACTTAAAGTTTCCTAATGTTTGTTTGATGTCCAGGAGGCTAATCAATAGTTTCCAAAATATAATAAATGGGCGGTGAATAGTGTATTACCTTATAAATCCTCGTAGAATGTTCCTCAGAATAAATTCCCCTGGTAAGTACAAATATAAATGGAATTAATGACACAAGTGCAGCAGGTGAATGGATGAGAAAGGGAAAACTTAATAATAAATAAGAATAATAACTATTAAACATTTATATTGTTGTCATCTATCATTACGAATGCACAAAAGATAACAACCTGCTTGGCACGCACAAAAAAGAGGGAAAACTCGTCATTATTACGTTGTTGTTATATTGCTATAAAATTCGGCATTATTTTAAATTTGTTTACACACACACACACACACACACACACACACACACACATCACAGCGCTCTCTCTCATCACTAAGTTAATTAAGGTTGACTTTACTGACCGACTGATTGACTGATTAACTTGACCAATCGCGAGCTCATCTCATCCATAAACCTCAAAACTCATATAAATTACCCTACCACCTACCATCACAATTTAATTTCATTCTAACTAAATACAACCATTCGTCAACTCAGTTTTAGCCCCAAATATTATATAATTATTTTTTAATATATATATTATGTAAAAATAGTAATGTAGATGTTCATATAATACATATGCACGCATATATTATTCCAAATCAAGGTATAAAACTAAAGGCATAAATAAATAAACAAATAATTCCTTGCCAAGCCTGTATGTTTTTTAGGGATTGGTTGGATTAATTATAGATTAATTAATAATTAATTATTATTATTATTATTATCAAAAGAAATAGAATATTGGAATTATTTAAATGTACGTTTCTGTATGTGATGATTATATGAATGGATTGATTGATTGATTGATTGATTAAGGTGATGAAAAAAGTGGAAAAACTTCATAATCTTATTTATTAAATTAACCTGTTTAAGTAACAAGTTTTTCTCATCCAATAACATTTTTTGATGTTACACACAAACAAATTGAAATATACACATACAAAGTAATTCATAGAATGTGACACAAGTCAATATAGTATTATAAAAACATAAATTTGTTAAATTTATTCAAGAATAACGAATAATTAATCAGTCATTAAATGAATCAGTTGTTTGGATTTGGTTAGATTTATTGTTTTTTGTTTATATGCGTACTTATTATTATTTTTAAATCCACCGGAACATACGAAAAGGAAGGGTATATATTAATATCAAACATATTAATCTTAAATATACATGTACTCACGCGGAATAAGTGGGGATATTACATCATCCATTAATTATTATTGCATCATCATTAGCCAATACTCTACATTACCGACCAATTAGCAATCGATTGGATCGAAATAAACCCCCCGGAATAAATTTTTGTCGATCATGTAATGTGCATCGAGATACATTCATCCATCATCATATATGGTATATGCCAAAAATCTATTTTTCATAAAACCCCGCAATTTACAAATAAAATTTTTTACACGTTTTTTGTTTATTATTATAACTAACAATCTTAAAGGCTGTTCACAACGGATGAAATAATAACAGCAGGGAGACAATTGTCTCAATTAAAATTATTATCGTTTTTTAATTTCTCGCGTAAAATTATGTAAATATACATATAATTATTACCAACCTGTAATCTGATATCGATAACAATGATATATATATATGCCTTATCGTAATCATTCATATGTCATTGTCCAAGCCTTTTTATTTTTTATTAAAAAATTTTTTTTCCTAGATATGACATCGTTTGCATGAATTTGCATACATCAAAAAAATACAAACAAAAAAAATTTTCAAAGAAAAAATTTTTTTTTTTGTCAAATAATAACCAACAACACAAGTCAATGTTCCAACAAATGGGTTAACAATGGTAACAATGACAACAATAACAAAAATTTATACGTGTGACATAAATAAATTCTTTTCTTTGTTGTTACTATTTATTATTATTACTATATTAATCTTCTTTTATCTTTTGATTACATTCTCACATGTCCCATTTTTTTATTGTTATCCCAATTTACTCCTTTTCACCAATTAAATTTAGATATATGTATATATATATGTATGCTTTACAGCATATTTGCAGTATATGCGTGACATTATATATGCTGCATTTAATTTATATCTAATATGTAGCGTCATACATTTTTTTACGCTTATTAATCTTTCTTTTTTTGGTTTATTAAATATTGATTACTATTATTATATTAAATTATTAAAATCAAAGAAATTAAGAAGACAGCAAAGATGATCTCTATTGTATCGGTATTCACTTTTATGTTTTATCAACATTTATCTTTGTCAATATCAAAATTTTCGACCAGTGATTGTAGATATTTGTTGTTGCCATCATTTGCCAGCTAGCTTGCTTGCATATTGTCGTCGAGATTGTAATTGCATGTGAGAGAGCAATAAACACTATTAAAGGAATGTAAATGTGCATCTAACTCGTTTCAGGCCTACCTCCAGGTCAACAGAGAGTATATAGAGTGTGGTGTTGTTGTATATGGCTAGTATTTCTATATATACTGACTGGTTACAATAAACAATTTTTTCTCATAACCATGATCATAATCTAACCTTGGAATTACTATTGCCACATTCTTTTTTTTTAATACAATACATAATTAGGCTTGTGTGATAATTGAGCTGCAATGGGTGTCACATCCTTTTCAACGATACCATATAAGTTAGGCAAAGTCATCTGTCAACACAACGGCTAGTAACATCTTTAATAGCCTGATTTCCACTACACAATTTGTCCTTGGATTCTTGTCTGCATATATCACGTATCGTTAAAAGAAGAAAACGTCAACAAGCGTAAAAAAAAAAAAAAAAAAAGAACTTGTGTGTGTGTTAATGAATATCACAAAATGGTCACTTATCCGTGGAGTTGGTTAACGTGTTTTGGAAGTTATAATCAATAGTCAGTTACAAGTAATAAATCCACTAATATTTGATTTTATGTTCAACACAATGAGATGAATCGTACAGAAACTTTATATAGTTAGTGATGATAACGATAATTTATATGTACGATTGGTTTATTCTTTAATAAATATTGATTATTTAAAGTGTAAAATAAAGTTCGAGATTTCAATTTAAATATTTATAGGTTCTTTATATGTTGTTTATTTGTTTATTATTTGCTAATTGCTTTATAATCACTCACATTTGGTAATTTTCTCGCGTAAAATTAATTGTATTAATTAGATTTCATTAAATTTGTCAATTCGTGCAAGTTTTTTTATAACAAGAAATAAAAAATGTGAATTTTCAATTATCCAATCAAATTTGGTTTTTTTGATAATTTCTTAATTTGCACTATAGTTACATTTATTATTACACAGGACGCCGAATGATTATGTTATTAAAAAAAATAGTTAAAAATATTATTTAATATTCGTACATGTCAACAAATCGATCGAGTTTTGCTATTAATTATTCGATTCATTATTATTATTACAATTACACTGATCAATCTCTTCGAAAACATAATCTTTTGTTTTTAGACCTTAACAGATTCTACAACGTATAAATTGGAATATAAAGAAATTCCTTAAACATTAAATTTTGTGCCCAATTTTATTGTGTGTTGTTGATACATGTTGTTGTTTGTTTGTTTTAATTATCCATTTTGTGAGAAAATTTTATAATTAGCATGCACGAATCAAATAAATAAATCCCTTTTTTAGCTCCCCTAGACTATGCAAAATAATAATAATATAATTCTACGACTTGATTTTATTTACCTGATTCTAAAAGTGTTATATAGTAAATCGTCATGTGTTTTGGTCGTTCCACACGTTATTTAACGTTGTATCGAAACAACGTTTGGTTTTTTAAAATTATCAAATAGTTCCTTCTATATCTCCTAGTCTTGTTCGAAAGTATCTCATTGATTATATATAGAAAGTGAAGAAATATGCTCGCTTCAGAAAAAATATATTTATTTGGATTTCAATTTTCCAATGAATCAATCAATAATACACGCGAATAAATGAACGATATAATCACTTAGATGGATTGTTGTAGATGAGCGTTACACAATATATCTTTATCTAGCTAGACTCATCTCACCACCGCTTATTATCAACACGTCTGCACCAATCAAATATATCTATATATATGCTTTTAGAGGCAATGAAACCTGATTTAAACGACCATTAACGTGTAACTCTAAACCTACAAATATAGAAATACAATAAAGCTAATTGATCTGCAAAAAAATTAAGTCCGAAATTTTAGCCAATAATAATAATAATAATGTTTGTTTTTGAAGCCCAGCAACAGGCGACATTTAAGCTTTTAAATTTTCCTAAACTAGTTTCGGCCAATTATTAAAAATTAGAAACATAAGATAATAAGATTATCTAAACTTTGATACGGGGAATCCGTAAATTAAATAAGGCAATTGATAAAGAAGCACAAGCATTATAATTTCGTTTTCACAGGATTTCTGCTTTTTTATAGACCGAATAAATACCCCTATTGAATTAGCAGAATATGATATGAAAGCATGCTATCACTTTCATTTTACTTTTTCTTTTAAGTTGGGCCGACTATTCTTTGCTTTACGGTGTTCGTGATGAAAAGATGATGTGTTGAGAGAGAGGTTTTTATGTCTAGGCGTATTATATACCATTTTTGAATTTGCTGTTGTTCGTTGTGGTTGTTTTTTTTTGTACATAAAAAAAAAAAGATAATGACAACAAGAAAGCAGATTTTCTTTGTTTACTCGCTAGTTTCTTTATTTCGAAATTGCAAGACTGGATTGTTTCTTTGATAGATTCACCAATAACTTCATATTGCATTCATTATATTTACACGTTAGCTTTTTAAATTCCGGAATATACAGGATTTTTAACGTGTTCAACAACCATATTATTATTATTATTATTCAAAATATTTATCTTGTCGCATCTTAATACTAACCATTTTAGAAGTTAGATGCTTCTTCATTAAACTTTTGGATTTTCTTGCAAATGCTAACTAAACATACATTTAATTTTTCTCTTGTTGTGTGGTTGTTGTGGTTGTTATTGTTGTTATTATTATTGTTGTTGTTGTTGATTTGTTTCATAATTTAATTTGTGACCAAGATGATGATAAGTTTAATTAATTGTGGCACAACTTGATAAAGTTCACGCACGGGATTCTTTATTGGAGGTAACCATAAATGGATTTGACAATTTTTAATTTTCGATATTCCAATAAGATGCCAATATTAAATGTTGATGGAAAGGAATGAGTTTATACGAATTGTAATAATATAAATTGATGTTAAAGTAAAATATTAATATAAATGATACAAATTTGTAATAAGGTAAAAGTTTTTGTATCAGTGACTTGAAGAGATTATTGCTACGAGTTTAATTTTGTTGACAACATGACAGGTTGTTTTTTGTTATTATTATTGAAAAAAATCATGTCACTATTTATTTGTTGTTGTTATTATTATTGTTGTTGTTATTATTATTATTATTATTATTATTATTTATTATTTATTATTGTAAAAATTATGAATATTCGGTTTCTTATTCTATTAATTGACTCGTTCGGCTTTGCCCTACTTATATAGTTGGAAGATGAGAAATGTTTTTGTGTGCGGAAATTATTTCGTCGAGTCACATTTAGCGAAATTGACGAAATGGGAAATAGAGAAAATTAAACTAATAAATATAAATTTATATGCGTCCTTAAATTATTTACATTCATCTATTCTTTGTTTAATTGAAATGTCAGATGGTGGTCTGGTTTTTTTTTCACTTTTCGTCAATATGCCTTTTGTGGTAAAGTCCAAGTATCTTTAATTCTGATCGTCTGGCGTTAAAGTACGTGTGAAATGTATGATATGTTTACTTTAAATAACTTTTTTCATTCTATTCTATGATAGTGGAGCATTCATTTAGAATAATTAAGATTAAGGAAAATTCAATTGTGCCAATGGTTGGAAAATTTCTTTATAAGAAAAAAATTTTTTTTTCTGTATATGCATATTTATTTTCAAACATTAAAAAAACATCATATGAGGACCCTGTACGATCTACAAATTGCGCCTTCATTTGTCAGAAGCTGCGCAAAAAGAGTCATGGAAAAAGCTGTTTATAATTCATTTACTTGCTGACGTATATAACAAGTTAATGATTCCGTGTTGTAAACGAATGACAGGCATTCATCGGTGGAAAAAGCAACAGAATCGTCAACAGTATTTTCAGTTGTTCGTATGAGCAAATTTGGGGGTGGCGAAACCCCCATGCAAAACTTTTCGAGCGGTGGAGTCCAGAAAAAGGAATGACGATTTGAGCAGCGTAAAAATTCGTTCCGGTGCTTCTTTAGGGAATAGAATCAGAGACATCGATTGACATGTGATGAGCAAAGTAAATAACAGAGGTAAAGCAACAATTTAAATGAAGAAGGAAGCAGAATAATTTCCAAGGGTCAAGAAGGTGCTGATGTTCAGAATATGGTTTGTGATGACAGGAATTAAGATTTAATATTTGTTTATTGTTCGCAAAATAAAAGTTCGGATAAACCTTGATTAAAAATGGCTTGGCATTTACAATTATTAATAATTCCAACTAACCAGTTTTATAAAAAATAGGCATGGTGGGAAATTTGATTTTATTGGATGTAAAAATAAAATTTAGGTTTTTATCAAATTTAGAAAATTCAAATGTGTGACGTCGATCACAACGGACCCATTATACCGATGTGCCATTTATATTGGAGACAATTATGTGTAAAATTTAGAGAAAGTTAAATCTTTTCAAAGAAAAACTGCACAAATGTTCTATTAAGAAGAATTGATTAAAAGTAATAATATTAAATTACATTGCGCTGCACCACTCGAATAATTGTTTCATACACAGTCAGTATTAATGGATAATAAAATGAACAAGATGTTAATATTCCATTCGATAAATTGCATGCTTTACATCCATCTATAAGGTCTTTCTTAAATTGTAATATTAATAATATAAACAAACACTTCCTTCATTCATAATAAAATTAGAAATTACTATCATTATATAAAAAAGTCTTTGTCTCCCAAATATTCAAACTAATATTAAATTGAGTTTTTTATTAATATCGATCTCTTAATTAGTAAGAAATTGCTTCTAATAAAACTCCATGAATATTGGTGACCGCTTGATGGTAGAGGTCGAAAACAAATGTTCTAGACTTGGTTTTACATAGTTTATTTGAGAAATTAAAAACTTTCTTTAATAAGCGAAAGCCACTATTTAATTTGCATCTTTTCCTTTGATTCATCAAATAATTTAATTATATAGTTACACGGCATAATTTCAAAGGTCGTCGTCACGTGTAATTTCTCTCAATTTACTTTGGTTTGACTAAATAATGTTTTCGAGGAAGAAGTTTACAATAATATTTGAAGTCAGAAAAAGGTAAACAAGCAAACAATCCAGATTTTATTAGGAGAAAACTATCACAACAAGGAATGCTTAATTACCGTTGATTAACTTGTGTTTTTTTCTTTCTTCTTGTGTCTGTTTCTGATATGTTAGGAGAAAGTGTTACAAGTGGTGATGGTGGTGGTGGTGGTAAATCATTGTTAATCAATGCTTCAATACTTTTTTAGGGAGAAAGTACCTGTTGGAAGAAGAAGTCGTATTTATTATTTACATATGCGCAAGGATTTATATGTTTATTGCGATTCTATTCATTCTATCCTGGTCAATATGATTGCTTTAGTTAGATAAGACAATTGATTGTGAAAAGGAAGTGATTGTGCAAAAGGCCTTTTGTGTGATAATAATGCATTTTTTCGGACCTTTTTTAAAAGTTTTCAAGGGTAATCGGAAAAAAAGGAAGAGACATGTGTTTTATACAACTGCAGTACAAGCTAGTGGTGTTGATGAAACGCGTTTGTTTAGAGAAGCTTCCAACAAAATACACATTATATATTGTTGCTTACGACCTTCACAAAGTACAGGATATCTAATGAGATCAAGAATAGCTAATGATTTGCTACCACAGTGTCATCTGGAAGCTGGTGTTATCACTTTGTTATATATATGTTTCGTATTTGCGTGCATGTGTGGACAAACTTTATGATATTATCGATGAAAAAAATGAGATGAGTCCCATATAAATGGTTCAAATTGCATGTTAAAGAATATACTTTCAAGGAAGGACCACAAAGAGACAATGAGCCAAATGTTCATCGTCAATCATGATTAAAATTAGTGTGTTAAATACATTATGACCAATAAAAATTTTAAGAGGTTGTTTTTTTTTTTGCAGCCACAAGAAGCATTTTGGAATAACATTCATAACTGTATGGAAATCATAAAGGAAAATATCAAACAAATGTACCATGATATATAGATGAGCAACGATTCAATGTCATGTTGGTAGAATATGCAATAAATTAAATTAATGTTTATTGCCAACAAATGCAGGATCAGGAAATCAATTTAGCATTACATGTGGCTTGCCTTCATCCAATGGAAATGAAACTGGTTTTCCTGCAGTATTAACTGACACAATTTTAATTTCATGCCTGCGTCATATTTTGATCCATCTCTTAGAGTAACTAACTTATTTACCCATATTGTCCATTAGAAGAATTTTATGACAATTACTAATTTATTTAATCCTTTACGGTTGTCTAGCATGGGCTGACCACTGTGGAGATCATGGATTGAAGCACATACAGAATCCAAAACCCTTGTTTCTTTTGAGCATTTATTGGTGATGTCAAATTGCAAGTTACTTGGTGGTTCATTGGATGAACTGTGTCAAGTATTGACAAGGGCTATTTATCCAATCAACAAGAAGCAAAATCGATCATTACATTTGTGATCCTTGGCTCAAGGCTATGCATTGATCTAATGCCACAATCTCATTCATTACTCGACTGATTTAATATTAAGCTGCATGTAAATTTGTATATACACATATCTAAAACATGGAATGCATTATTTACAGGACCAATCTTTGCTAAAGCATCTGCTCAGCTAATTAATGATTAAGATTTACCAATAATAACAATCATTGAGCTTTTTAATTCTACCTTACGGAAGGTGCAGTCGGAGCTGGATTTCATGGTGAATTATATGTTCGATTAATATTTTACTTGTATGGGATTCACATGACTATATAAACACAATGGACCAGTGGTACAGATATAGCAAACTTGCAACCGTATGTAAATTTCTGGAGGTCTTAATAGGATCAACGAATAGTGAATTGCCGAAAAGTCAAATTTATACGCAAAATTATGAATGGTTTATATTTTTCATGCATTTTATTCCAGATGTATTGGAGTTTTTAAAGCGCTGTGTGGCAAAAATCAAACATGCGATTGACTTGATCATTCCAGTCTATTTACAACAACATCCACCTGACATTGTATTTTTATACTCTAATTTCATTTTGATGCAGAAGACATGCAATCAAGACATCAAATTTAAATTTGCCAAAGCAAAAATTGGGTCGAGATTGAAGATATTCCAAATCAACTGTATTTGTCTTTGTACATGCAGGTAAAATCAATGTTGTTTCAATGGATGAAAGGGATAATGATGTCAATGAAGAAGTGAATGAATTCTATAATAATTGTGTGTAAAGTTCCCTGTCCGTAGTCCAAATTAAATTTGCCATTTTGTGCATAAAACTTGACAAAAGAAAACTTTTCTTCACTTGAAAGAATATTATCACCAGATGGTATGGAATTTGTACATAATACTTGTAATGAAATTTATAGATGACAAAATGATTTTTAAATGAATATGGATATATGGATTTATATGTTAATGAATAGCTTGGGTGTGATTTGATTATTAGAAAAATTATTTTCAAGTTGAAACTTATTACGATTATTTTACTATGGTTGAATTCAGATCATTTAGTTGATTAGGGGATGTTATTATTAACATGACAAAATGCTATTACAAGTTTTTTAACCGACTACTTTCAAGTAATAAATATATATATAAATATGAAAAAGCAGTCCCGCCATATACCGTGGCTGGATTTTCTGTTAATATCCTTTGATAATAATATACATCAATATACAAAATACTGTCTCACAAAAGGAAATCCAAGAATATAATCTCAAGGCAGATTCACTATAAAGCAATATTTACAATACCAAATATAAAAATATAAGCTTATCATCATATAATCATAATAAATAGGAACACACAAGATATGAGGGTTACGTTTTTTCCCATGTCTTTTTCTGGATCTGATGAGCTTTATTTAATTCATGAAAAAAAAAGATTGATTTTTTTTTGGAATGATTATTTGTTTTATGTTGGTGATAAAGATTATATATATATAACAGTAATTAATTAATTAATTAATTAATATCATACAATTATAATTAAGTTGAAAAAAATTTTTTTTATTAATAATAAAATTAATGCTAATAATTAATGGTGATAATATTATTACTTCTTCTTCTTGGATGGTTTAGCTTGACCCTTAAGAACTTTTTTGACAATCTTCTGTTCCTCAATTAAAAATGCCCGGACAATGCTATTCAAAACAAATATATATATTATTAAATTTAATTTTTTGATGATTTATATACATTGATTTACACATACCGATTTCTAACACATTTAGCACAGCGACTACCTCCATAAGCACGTTGTACTTTCTTTTGTCGTTTAGAAATTCTTGCATATTCACGTGGCCGAAGGGCAGGGATCTGTGATGAGTTTTACATCAAAAATAAAATTAGGAATAAAATAAAGTTTGTAATTGAAAAGTCTTGTGATCAAAAAAAAATTTATATATATTACACCAGGAATTCTAATCCCACAGTCACCACAATGAGGACCTTTGGCAGGTTTCTTTTCATAAAGCCATGTAAGTTTACCACCTGCAATCATTAATAAAAAATTTAATTAATAATTTGATTAAATTTTTTACAAGTTTATAATTATCAAAACTTACCTGGTGTCTTGATTACTTTCACTCTATTAGATTTGGTATTATAACTTAAACGCCGTCTGTAAGTAAGACGTTGTGCCATTTTGAATTACTATGTATACTATATT